GCGAGGTAGGGCGCGGGCTGGGCTGGGGCGCCGAGTGGCCACGGGGCGTCCCAAACGCGCTGTCAGACCCGGAGGAAGCAGAACAAAAACTTTCCAAGCGCCCATCTCCGGGCGCTGGAAACAGGCATCTCCGGCCACGGAGGAGCCCAGCCCGCCGGGCTGCTCTCGGGCGCTAGTGATTTCTGAAGCTTGGAAAGGGGTCAAGTTCCAACTGTAGAACTGACTCGGGTGGGAGGTGGTGGAAGCTGCCGGGGGTCGGAGGGGAAGGGGTGAAGGCGCTTATTTTTGGAAACGCTAGAAACAAAGAGTATTGAGGTGGGGTGGGGGTGGGGTTAAGGCTTAAGCTTGCACCGCCGGCGCGGAGAGTGGGGAGAGAGTTAGAGGGACCCTGGGGCTCTGGGGCCCGCAGCCTCTCCTGCCCCAGGACGGGTGGGAGCCCTCTCGCCTCAGTTACTCCGCTTTTATCTGGTTGCCGACTGCCTCGCAACACTTAACTTACAGGTAGACTTGTGCTAACCGGGCCACGCTGCGTTCCCCGCACACTTTCTAGACCTCTGAGGAGGAGGCAAGGTGCCGGGGACGAGGTGAATAAAACCGCCAGTAGCTTAGAGAGCCCGGTGCCCCTCCTGTGAGCGGCTGCAGGGCGGTTTGCACGGCGCCGGGCTGGGGCGGCATGCCTGCTATCAGGAGCCTGTGGGCTATTCCCACCCGAACTAGAAACACTCCTTATGCAACTGAGGGCCACGCGGACCTCTGGGGCTTATTGCAATCTCACCGGCACCAGCACCGTGAGAGGCTCTTGGATTGGCTCCGGAGAAAAAGAAGAAAGAAAAGGCAGTTGCTTGACGGAGGCGCCCAGTTTCCCTGTTCATGTGGGGCCAGGGCAGGCTTGGCTGCCCCGCGGACCCTAGACACATCTGCTCCCGAGGTCATTAATAGAGCCCCCAAAACCTGACTGTCCAGTGACTTTCCTGCCGGCCTGATTGCTCGTGGCCGCGAGGGGCGGCTCTGCTCTCAGGCTGGGCGTGGGGGCAGAGGTGTGCATCTCCACCCTCGTTTGGGTTTGGGTCTCCGAGGAGCCCGAGAGCTTGTGAGCCTCCGCTGGGCGGTGACCATTCTAGGCGCCGCCTGGGAACTGGCGGGGTGCGGGGGTGGGAATCAGAAGGTGGCTGTGGGGTTCGCTTCCCCACTGATCCCATTTCTGTTGGAGTGAATGTGACCACGTGGAGAATTTTCGTCTTGTTGAGTCGGAGTTTTCAGTTGGGGCAATTTTTTTGTTGTTCTTTCTCCCTCTCTTTCTTCCCTTTTTTCCTTTAAAAAAAATTTTTTTTTGCAAGGGATGAGAGTTTGATTTTTTTTAAATCCCTCTCTCTGGGCTCTCCCCACGTTTCCTTTAAAGAAATAAACAAAACGAGCAGGGCCTCGGCGAGAATGAGTTGTGCCTGTGGCTCTCCTGACTCTCTTTGTAACTCGTTTAAGGCTGCGGTTCCGGAGGCCCTGTCCAGCCTGGAGACGCGGAAAGCCGGGACCTCTGACTTCCAAGCTCTCCGCCTCCGCCTCGCCCTCCAGCGCCCTCTAGCGTCCGCCGGGGCAGCGCCGCTCGGGAAAGGCGCCGGACGCAGGGCGCGCCATGGGGTCCACCAGCAGCGCGCTCTCTGACTACTCCAACTATGACATCATCATCCGGCATTACAACTACACCGGGAAGCTGAATCTGGGCCAGGACAAGGACAGCGGCCTCAAGGTGACGTCCGCGGTGTTCATCCTCATCTGCTGCTGCATCATCCTGGAGAACATCTTCGTCTTGCTGACCATTTGGAAAACCAAGAAGTTCCACCGGCCCATGTACTACTTCATCGGCAACCTGGCCCTCTCGGACCTGCTGGCGGGGGTGGCCTACATCATGAACCTGCTCTTCTCCGGGGCCAACACCTACAAGCTGACGCCCGCGCAGTGGTTCCTGCGCGAGGGCAGCATGTTCGTGGCGCTGTCCGCGTCCGTGTTCAGCCTGCTGGCCATCGCCATCGAGCGCTACATCACCATGCTGAAGATGAAGCTGCACCACGAGAGCAGCAGCTCGCGCTCCTTCCTGCTCATCAGCGCCTGCTGGGTCATCTCGCTGGTGCTGGGCGGCCTGCCCATCATGGGCTGGAACTGCCTCGGCCTGCTGCCCAGCTGCTCCACGGTGCTGCCGCTCTACCACAAGCACTATATCCTCTTCTGCACCACGGTCTTCACCGTGCTGCTGCTCTCCATCGTCATCCTCTACTGCAGGATCTACTCGCTGGTGCGCACGCGCAGCCGCCGCCTGACCTTCCGCAAGAACGCGTCCAAGGCCAGCCGCAGCTCGGAGAAGTCGCTGGCGCTGCTCAAGACGGTGATTATCGTGCTGAGCGTCTTCATCGCCTGCTGGGCGCCGCTCTTCATCCTGCTGCTGCTGGACGTGGGCTGCAAGGTGAGGACCTGCAACATCCTCTTCAAGGCCGAGTACTTCCTGGTGCTGGCGGTGCTCAACTCGGGCACCAACCCCATCATCTACACGCTCACCAACAAGGAGATGCGCCGCGCCTTCATCCGCATCATGTCCTGCTGCCGGTGCCCCAGCACCGACACCCCCGGCAAGTTCAAGCGCCCCATCATCGCTGGCGTGGAGTTCAGCCGCAGCAAGTCCGACAACTCCTCGCACCCCCAGAAGGACGACGGGGACAACCCAGAAACCATCATGTCGTCTGGGAACGTCAACTCTTCTTCCTAAAACGGGAAGCAGCCAGCCCATGGGGAGTGTTCTTGCATGGTCACCCACCGCCCAGTGTTTGGAAAAACATCTCCGTGCCGGGGGCCTGGACTGCTGCCAGGGTGGAGCTGCCGGAGCCGGAGCCGGAGGGGGGGCGGGGCGAGCGAAGGGCCGTGACGCCGGGTTGGGGTCGGAGGGTACAGTGAGTCCTGTGAACAATGCGCCGGGAAGGGTGGAGAGCGGTCCGCGGGCCTGAAGTCTGCTTCCTCTCCCTGAGCTTTGATTTTGCACTGAGCCAGAGGTTAGCATGGCCCAGCTCCCGAAGGGTTCGCTCGGCCCCTCCTCGAAGACCGAGGTCGCCTTGGAGCGTGTCCTGGAGCTTTGAGGAGAAGATGTTTTTTCACTTGAGTTTCCAGCCACGTGTGCACTTCTGCTTCTCTAGGGATGCTCCAGCCCGCACCCCACCCCTCCTTCCCCTGCGCACCCTCCTCGACATCCTCCGACTGGGCATCATCAGAGCTGGGGTGGCCTGATCCATTTCTCCAGCATCTGTGGCTGGTGGGCTGTGTCCAGGAAGCAGACAGAGGAGCTGGAGACGGTTCGGACATGGGAGGCAGTTTCATTTGCTGAGGCCAAAGTTTCCACGCAAGCTGGATCCGTTGTTTTTGGAATTTGGTTGTAGTCACTTTGAGGTTTTTTGTTTTTTTTTTTACATCTTTACAATGGAATGCGTTACAGTATCCTGCCATTGTGCCTGAAATCTGCATGGGGAAGCCCAGCTTATCTAATGGTATCAGCCAGGACCCTTCGTGTCCCCGGGGAGACAAAGGCCCCACACAAGGAGAAAACCCGCCGCGGGCCGGGGAACTTTGTAAACCAGGAGGGATTTCCTAACGAATTTGCCTAACAGATGCAACATCGGTCTTTGGCACTTTTGTTGATGTTTATTACGGAGTGTGTGTGAAGCATTTCAACCAATGGTTGTATCTTGTTGTGTTAAAAGTACTCTTCATGATGTTTGAATGTATTTGTTTCAGCATTTTATTGGATTTTCCTAACCTGTGTTAACACCATTGAATGTGTATTTCTTAAGAAAGTATCACCCTCTATGCCCTTAAAGCATTACTTTAACTGGTAGGGAACCCAGAAGTTTCCAGTACAGCTGTTTTTTAATAGTTCATTGGGCATGTGTGTAAATGTTACAAAGAATAAAATGTATTGCTGTCTCTTTAGTATGGTTTTCAGTGCAATTAAACCCAGAAATGTCCTTTTTTTTAAAAAAATAGTATTTAATAGTTTTCTGACTTTTGTGGATCATTTTGCACATAGCTTTATCAACTTTTAAACATTAATAAACTGATTTTTTTACGGATTCCTTTGTGAAGAGCATTTTAAAAATAATTAAAGACCTTCTATTTGACTCTGTGGCTCTTTAGTAAGGTAAGGGCAAATGTCTGTTATTGTTTTAGAAACCACTCTATCTTTTTCAGGAAGAGAAACTTCAATATGTTAACACCGAAGAGTAGTAAAGAATGAGATGAAAAAAACTGCCAGCCTCTAACTACATACCACATGGGAAGGAAATGTAATTGTTTGAGTTTTAAATTGCATCCATGCCAAACTAAACTAAGGCCAATATTCTTTCCCAAAACATGGGGTTTTAAAGAAGAAACACAGAGCAGTGTGGTTGTAAATCTAACTTAAATCATGAAACTCAATGGTCAGTTCAAATCCATCCACAAAAGCTTGGCTTTCTTCCAACATGCTGGGAAGTGGGGATATGAATATGGGAGATCATATCACATCACTTACATGTTCAGAATTGGTTTCTGTCTTGGTTTCTCCCCGTCTAACCTCTGAACAATATGGGACTCTAGTATCACTGAAGGAGCGAGTGGTAGGCTGAGTTGCAGACACCTTCTGTCTGAAAACGTTCAGTCCATAGTATCTGAAAGCTTTAACATCCCTGGTTATTAATTTCTCCAACTATAAAATGAGAGCAAGGGTACTTTACAAGCAAAACGGAATTCTTGTCCTCGTTAATGCTCGTTTTCATTGGGGATTCAATGTGAGTGTTTGTGCGTGTCTGGCCCGCCGGTGCTATTGTGACTTTCAGAATGTGTGCTTTCAAGTGTCATTGAGCCAGCACAGGACACAGTTGGGGCATGAAGATAAACCTCCCCTCCTCACGTAGATGTCACGTCCGGGTGAAGTTCACTGTGGGAAACAGGAGTGTGTTCACTAAGGAAGCCTTGGGTCACAGCCTCCAGTTTCCTGAAGGAAATGCCAAAAAGGCTCCAAAGACAAAAGGCTGGCAACAGGCGGGAAGGTCTGTCCATCTGTCTGTGGAGACGGAAGGAATGAGTTCATGGTACACTCACTTCCTAGGGCTCCGGACAGACCCAGCGTAATGGGAACGCAAGCCCGCTCCGTGTTTCTGTGGGAGATGAAGTGGTCCTGCTCTGGGCCTTGTCTTTCTAAGCACAGCGGTGACTCCCGCGACCTGGGGGAGATGGGGGGGGCGTGAAGAGGGAACTCAGGGAGGACAGCTTCACCTGCCCACCGGTGAGCCCTTAGCCAGTGATGAGAGGTGCTTGCTTTTTGGAGATCCAGGACAGTGCATCCCATTCTGAGAAAGCAGGACAGTCGGGGACTGTGGTTCCCTGGGCACACGTGTGGCAGACCCCCGGCCAAGAATCAATGGCTGCGACGAAGGAATCCTTGGTTGTATCCCAACGTGGATATCTGGTTTTAATTCAGTATATCCTGGAAACTGAGGATGGAGAAAACAACAAACTAACTAAACCTCAGTAACTATATGTTTATACTAAAATAAACATCCACCAAGTTTTGATTAAATCCCGTAGAGGTTTTCAAGAGGAGCAAGTCAGACCATCTGAGCAACACTTGACATATTCTTGTAAAAACATACCATTGGCTCATAAATGTTTAGCAGAATTACAAAATGATGGCAAAAAATACTTTTTCCCCCCAGCAACATTGAGCCCAATTACAACTTCACAGACATTCAAATAAGAATCTTCTTGTTTTCTAGTCTCATTATAAGTAGAAAAGGTTCTTTAATAAAGGTGGATCCAGTATTACTAGAATTCAAATTTTTTTAGTAATGGGAATTTTGCATTCATGTTCATTAGCTACTGGATTCTATTTTAGTAATATCAACACTTTGGTTGGGATTTCTAGCATCTCTATTCCCTCCTCCTTCCCCCAATGTAAAAAGTCTTATAAAGATTTCAGCTATACTTTTTTTTCAGATAGGATTAATCTCTGCCCGGGAAATGGCCGATGTTAACGAGATACCCGAGGCAGTACTCTGGTGGTACTTCTAGCCTATTCTGCGCTTTGGATGATTTTGACTCTTTGCCCATCCACTCAATACATCACTGGGACCCCTCGTGTCTTCTAGGCGACTACAAGTGCAGCTCTGTTTGGGAGCTACTGCTCCGAAATAGTGACTTTAGAAAGATGATGGGCTCTTTGGGGGAAAGCCTATGAAGTGAGGACTTGCCGTTTAAGCAGATCTGAATATTAGCAATCCCATTTCAACTGAGAAGTCAGGGATAATGCTCGAGTGACAACATAAAACTATTCTGACTCTTTGATCTTCTAAAGAGTCACTGGCTCAAAAATTAATCTCCAGCTAGAACCGTTGTTTACCCACAGTATTTGCAGCGCTGAGTTTCTATCATCTCTGTGTAATGTTGAGTTAGTCTTTTTTTTAATCTTGTTTGCTCCACACTCAGCTGGAATGATGTTTGCTGCGGGTACCTGACTGATTAGCTCAAACTAGATGGATCTCATTTGTCTCCCAACTAATTAGGTCACAGTAGCTAGGTCTATATTTTTCTCTAAATAAATCTTAAACATCTCGAGGAAGGCATCACAAATAACCAAAGAAACCTTTCCAGGATGTTTGATTCTTAGCCTGTGGACACCTTAAGATCTCAGTGATGAGAAATCGTAATAAATTGCATCATTTCCCCCTCCCTAGCTTCCTGCCTTTTTGATGTGTGCTTCACATGGTCCAGGGATGGGGACCCAAAACATTCTTCTTCGTCCACCACAGACTTCACTGCCATACTTACCAGCTAGGCCAGAGGCATCTCCCAGAGCACCATGCAAGCGATGTCTACTTGAATTGTGAAAAGCCTTTCTATTGTCTATAATGACAAAGGATTTTTAACCAGTGGCCAAAGGAGCTAGGAGAAATGGGAAGATTATAACACTGAGCGAGGGTTAGACCTGCATTTACTTCCGTCTTTTCACAGTCCTTGACCCGAGCCGGGACCGAGGGCAACCTTGGGCAACCTTGGTTCGTAGTGAGACATCTCCCCTAACACACCCTGTGTCTTACTCCCTGTGCTTTCTTCTTGGATTCGGACTTCCAAATGGTTCCTATTTCCCCATGCTCTCTTCCTCATCCCTTTGAGGACTGAAGGGTTAAAAGTCAGATGTAGCTGTGTCTAGTCAGCAGTGTGGACTGCAGATTGGAGCAGGCGTTGCGACATTTTGTTTATTGTGTCCGCCAGTCAGCTTCTGTGCTGATAGTGGGTAGACACCTCATGGTAAATTCATACTATTCAGCAGTTAAAAAGGAACGACTATGGGTACTTGGCCTCCCTTGCATAAATCTCAAAACCATTAAGTTGGGCAAAAGAAGCCAGCCAGCCACCAAAGAGAACATACTGAATGGTTCCATTTATGTGAAATTCAAGAACAGAAGAAACTCATCTGTAGGGATAGAAATCAGCAGAGTGGTTGCCTGTGGGAGGAGGGTAAGCTAGAAGGGAACGTGAGGGAATTTTCTAGATGCTTAGCAATGTTCTACATCTTTTTTTTTTAAGGTGTTGTTTACTTGGGTGTATTCATTGGTCTAAATTTATCCAACCATATTCTTAAGACCTGTGAAAATTTTTTAAAAAATCAATATGGTAGACTTGTCAAACTGGACAACCAATGAGTCCAGGCTGCCTGTCATTACTAGAGCCAATTCAGTAGAGACAGGGTTGAATCGTATATGAGCATTTATTCCAATACTGCTGGCAGTGTTGGGGGGCAGTAGGTCACTCACAAAAATCTGCTCTGCAGCCCCGATAAACCAGCTGCTTATATAGAGTAGGACAAGGATTACATAGGGAAGTAGGAGGCTGGGGTGGGACTCCATTGTTTGGGCAACAAGGTTGTTAATCTTTCCCTGTTAAAATTCATTTCTTGCATGAGAATGGACCACATTCGAAGGTTGACTCCCAGGTTCTGGGGGTGTACAACTCCCCGCCAGGTTAGAATGGTCTTTCGTTAACCAGAACAAGGCAATCACGGTCCACAGAGCATGATTAATATTTCCCATAGCCATAGCTAGTCCCCAATATTCTATTTTTGCCGTGAACACTTGCACTTTTGAGCATGCGGGCTATTTGGGACTTTCTCTGAGAAACTGTGGAACAAGGTTCCAAAGAGTTCAGCAGCATGGGACAGAAGCTCCCCAGCGCTCCACAGAGGGAGCGAACAGTGGCAAATAACTGGGAACTCTTTGCTTCTGGAGGATGCGAATTTGGCTTAGTGTTGGTTGGAGAAGAATTTCTGTCTTGGGAGTCTTGGGTTGTCCTGAAACAGTACAAGCTTACTGAGGTTTCAGCCTTAGGGCTCTACGGTGCCTTGTAACTGACTATGAAGAACGGACTTTTACACGCTGACAGGGGTTCCGACACAAACTCCTACCGGTGCGTGTGCACTGGAGTGTTCCAAACCTTGTCTTCTCACCCGGGCACGTGTATGAAAGGCATTCGGTCAGGTGATAACACCCGTCCCGGGGGCAAGCCCGCCTTGTTAGCGCAACAGGCAGAGACACAGAAGAACTGGCAGACAGGCACGTCCTCCAGGGCTTCCCAAGCTTCTGTGAGCTGATGCCTGGTTGCCTGAGCTCAGCCCGTCTGTGGATTCCTTCCTGGGGGCAGCCCTGGGAGTCCCTGGGCAGAGCTGCCTGAGGTCTGGGGCCGGCCAGAACAGGAGAGAGGGCAGCTGCTCCCAGGGCTGGCTCAGGGGGGAACGCAGTCTTATCTGCTTCCCTGGATCCCTAATCCCATTACTGTTGCACGTTCTGCTTTTTGTTGATACCAAGACAGAAAGAACAAGCCTTGGGGAAGCCCTGGCTGGCTCCTGCTTCCCGCTCCCGCCTTCCTCGGGGCACCCAAGCACCCAGCCATCCCTGGGACAGGAATGCTGGTCCTGGCTGTGCGCTGTGGATCCCGGGCCAAGGACGGGCAAGGTCCTGTCTGCCCAGACTCTCAGGATTTATGCATCCCTCCGAGTCAGGGGCTCTTCTCTTTGGGGTCCAGGGAGCCTGATGT